ATTTTCAGGAAAGCATACCAGGACCTATCAGGTTGGAGAATTTCCAGTGGGAAATCCCAAAGATTAGCTCGTATGCACGCTGAACTGAGAAAAACAGAAAACGTGGGAAACTGATCTGCAAACTACTAAAAGGTTTCACTTTGGTTAGGTATTTCATGATTCAGAGTTCTTTTCATTTAGGAAAAGAATCAGGCAACTATTTAAATCCAATGTTTTCTGGCAGAGTTGAAGGGTATAACCAGTTCCTAATCAGAGCTGCACCATGATACTGCCTAGCAGAGCTGAGAGAAAAATAAAAGTGTGTGCGTGTGTATATACACACAAGTGTGTCCATGTGTATACAGATGCACACATATGTATATATGTTTATCCTTGATATAGGCAGAAATATTTCAATTTTTGTTAGTACTAAACACTTTCCATCTCTGGTGAAGGCCTTTCAAACAGAAACCTGAAACTTGTTAGCTAATCAATTAGAAAAAAACTGTGAAAACCATAAAAAAATAACCAGTTGATTTTAAGTGGAAAATAAAGAATTCCAAAGAGCAATTTAATAAAATTGTCTTTCATGGCTGTAAAAAGCAGTTAAATTTCAAATCTATATTTTACATGAATTTGGCCCCAAAATAAAAGTTTGAAGTTTATCAAATTCATTTCTTCAATAATCATTTATCAAGGCACTACCATGTACTAAGCACTGTTCTTGGTGATGGGACTTAAAGTTCCTGTTCTCCTGGAGCTTACATTCTAGAGAGGCAAAGAGAGACTAAAACAATATAAATGAAATAAATGTTAGATGACAATAAGATCAATGGAGGAATATGGAGAGGGTAGGGGGCTGCAATTTTAGCAATCATACACTGTTTCCTACATTATTAAAGTGAATTCAAAAGTGCATCACTTGTTTAATGGGAAAAATTAAAATCTGTTTACAAAATAAACATTACCAAAGATTAAATGAACCTGATTTTAATATACTTTAAAAAAACTTTAAGTCACCATTTTATATCTTTATTAGTTTTAAAATTTCTAAGGGGGTCTGTGAAACTGCCATGAAAAAGATGGTCAAGTCCAAAAGAGTTGGAAAGTGCTGTTATATTATTATGTAACTGGCCCTGGGCCTTATGTGGCTCATACTCTATGCCAGTGGTTCTCACAGGAGAACCAGGAAGGCATTTTGCCGCTCAGGGTAAGATTTGGCAATGTCTCTGGAGACATTTTTGGTTGTCCTAACTGGGGAAGGTGTTACTGGCATCCAGTGGGCAGAGGCCAGGGATGCTGCTGAACTTCCTACAATCCACAGGACAGCCCTCCACAACAAAGAATTATCTGGCCTGGAATGTCAATAGTGCTGAGGTTGAGAAACCTGTGTTAAGGACACAGAAACAACAGTGATAATACAGATGTTCTCTATCAAAGAAGTACCATTCAGTGCCATGGGATCATAGCGAAAAGCCTCAGTGGGGAGAGGAGAGAAGTGAAAAAGCAGCTGGCATTTTAATTTGGCCTGAGGAAGAGGAAAGGATGAAGACTGAGGATTACAGAAAGAAGGGACAGCAAGAGCAAAGCAGTGGACATTAACGTGCAGCAGCAGCAGGGATTAGCAGGCTCCTAATGGGCTGTGGTTAGCCTCTATTTGTATGAAATATTTCAATTTCCCTGTATCAAATGTGCTTAAAGCAAAACCAGCAAACTACAATTTCACACAGTATCATACTGCCTTCTGCACAAAATTTAGGTCGAGACATTGTGATCCAGCAGAAAAAGCACTAACCTAGGCTTTATACCAGACTCCTAGTAAACTGCACAAGGAAAGGGAGGGTACCTGGGCTAGTCTGTAGGCTTTCTCTATGAATGGGAAAGGTCTAGACGTTCTCTAGTTTTTCGACATTGCTGTATGATTCTACCCTTAATCCAACTTACTTCCAGAAAAGGGCCAAAATCTTTCATTTTCTTTTCATCTTTGTATATACAGTTCCTCTGCCTCAAACAGTTCCTTCCCTCTTGCTTTCTAAAATTCTATTTGTCCTGTTATTTTAAAATTAACTTTAACAAAAAAAGGAGGTAAAACTTACCGCGAAATGCAGATCCTAAACGTACAATGCGGTTAAGTTTTTAACCACAACCCCTATCAAGTTATCTTGGTCTTACACATGGCTCCCTCCGAGAAGTCTTCCCCGACCTGTTCCCGACCCAGGTTAGGGCCCCCTACGACCCGACTGGGCCCTGTACTTCACCAGTGACATCGCTTGGCCCTGCACCACCTAAAATACTACCCCGCTTGTCCAGTCAAGTTGCCCATGCCACCGTCTATTATTCAACTTCACACACGCCACACCTAGCAGGACACCTGCCTCAGATGTCCTCAACCACAGGTGCTGAGAGGCGTCAACAGAAAAGAAGAAAAACTCTGTAAAGTAATTTAAGGAGGTTTATTCCGAGCCAAATCTGAGGACCATGGCCCAGAGCCACGCCCAAGAAGTGGGCTCACTGTTGTAGAGTCACAGTTTGTTTTTATACATTTCAGGGAGCCAGGAATTACAAGTCAAGTCATAAATCAATACATGGAAGGCATACTTTGGTTTGGCCCAGAAAGGTGGGACATCTCAAAGCGGAAGCTTACGAGTCATAGGCGGATTTAGGGATTCTTTAGTTGACAA